ACTCTTCTAGGAGTCATGCATGACCTAACTTTGCGCGTAAATTATTTATGGACGGTTGTTAACTGAGGTTGTCTACATTATTATTGTTGGGAATCTTCAATCTCAGACAGGCCACATTCATGGAGAATTGGAGATTGGAGAGGTCTGCGTCTCCATTTTTTTCCTGGTCCTCAGGTCACCGGAAACCCACCATTAATTTTCATGTTAGGTCTTTTTTATCATTAAATCAACAATTAATCAACAAATACCTGCCCTGCAGCTCATATAAGTCATGGGGCGACTTTGTTAAGTGACATATTTCTTTGGTACATTTCATTATTAGGCTATAAATATAAAGAATATATGGTCATCTTCTTTCTATCAAATCCTTTTCACTAAAAACTTGAATCCTTTTCTTTCAAAAAAAAAAAAAAAACGTCAACCCTAAGGTTTCAAGTTCCTAATGGCAGGGGTGGATCTATGTTGGGAGGAGTTAGGGCTAAAAAATTCTTATAATTTTAAGAGTTTATAATGGTAAGGTATTATCTATTAAAAAAATAATATATAAGGCCTTTTAATTTTAAACTTTATTTAATACAAAATACAAGTAAAAATGAAAAATCAAGATGTTATAACATGCCAAGACTTCTTGAAAATCTAAAGATCCAAAATACAACCGTCCTATTCCATAATCAATCCTAATTCCTTTATTGTCTAATGGTATACAAGACATTTACTTTTTAGCTCTGTATCTCTATAGCTTCAGACAAACATAATTAATTTTAAATTATTATTATTATTATTATTAAGCCTAAGAAAATAGAGAAATATAAGATATTTTTTTGGCCTTCAAAAAAAAAAGATAATTATCTATACATTAGCAATGGTAGGAGAGTTTGAAAATTAAACTTTCCTCCATGGTGGCTGGTATATATAGCCTTATTTGTACAATATTCATAGTTGGGGTTGTTAGCATTAAAACTAAATAAATTAAGGTTAGAAAAATCTCAAGCAGGGACAAAGTATGAATGAGACATCAATCAGAAGCGCCAATGAGGTGTTGGTCCCTTTCTCCCTTAATCCATCAGCAACATTGCCTTTGTGCAAGTAGCAACCTATTATCCAAATGGATGGACTTAATTTCTCCGGGCCATGACCCACAACTTTTAGAATATATATATCTTGGTAAGCGATAAGGATTCATTTACACATAAATTTTATATATTACATTTACATAAAATTTTGATAATTTAATTTTTTATTTTTAATAGTTAAAATTTATTATATTTATTAAAAATAATTATTTAATTCATTTAAAAAATTATAATAAATTTCAATTATTAAAAGTTAAGAATCAAAATTTTATATAAATATCATATGTAAAACTTATATATAAATAAATTCTTCTTTTATATATATATAGATATATATATCAGCCATGCCATGACACACATATATATATTGATCATTTGATGAATTATATATCATCTAATGCTGTCCCTTTCTCATAGACTAAGACCTCCACTACTGTCAAAAATTCAATTTCATTTTCATATATATATAGATATATATATATATATATATATATATATCAGCCAAGCCATGACACACACATATACATATTGATCATTTGATGAATTATATATCATCTAATGCTGTCCCTTTCTCATAGACTAAGACCTCCACTACTGTCAAAAATTCAATTTCATTTTCAAGCATTGCAACAACCAGATGGAAACTTGCAACTAATAATCTTGACACCGGATTAATGGACCCCAAATATATTTACACTTGACATATATTGTAAGTTAAAAGGTTTCACATTCTTTTAAGCTTGAGAAACTTAACAATTTATTTTATGAGTCTAGATTGAAAGATCAAATTATACACAATAGTAGAAATTAAACATTTTTTTAATTTTAAAAAACTTGACAATTCATTTTATGAGTCTAAACTGAAAGACTAAATTGCATATAATTGTAGAGATTAATAATCTTTTTGTAATTATTTATATAATTTGAAAATTTGTTTGGATCAAATCACTCCCAAATGGATCCACATGCCCAATTTGGTATCCTTTTTAGCCTGCCTACAGATTCATTTCAAATTCAATATAAAGTTGCAAAAGTGAAAATGTTGTATATGATAATAAAGTGCATGGTATATTTGCATATTCTCTTGGCTAGATTACTTCTAGTTCATTTGATCCCCCGATTTGATTAGTTGTTCCCTAAAAGAGATTCAACTTTAGCTTACCATCCCATTAAACAACAAATTTAATATCTTAATTAACATAACCATTATCAAACATACAATCCATGAATGCAATCACTTTTTTTTTTTTTTAACTGGTCATTACGGTATTAGTTACCAAATCTATCAAAAATATACTCTATTTTAAAATTAAGGAATTAAGGAGAAAATATAGAGTAAATTTCTTTATTATCAGATTAATTTGGTACATTCTGAAGAAAAAGATAAAACAAAAAAACGAAAATGATATAACTAGGCATTCATGATATGGGTGGCCATGAAAATGAGATCTGTTTGATTTGATTTTTAGTAAAAACAAAAATTTAAATCCAATCAAACTTAATCCATCCATTATAGTCTTCGATTGATTTCAAATTCTTCTATGGGTTGTCTATTTTTTTTGCCCACCCTTAATTCACGGCATTAATCAATTACTTCATTAATTTTTTAAACAGTGATATATAAATAATTTTTTATAT